CACCAAAGCCCACCAAGCATATCAGATCCACCGAACCCAAGGGCGCGCGCTTTTATTTTGTAGGTAGCGCGCGCCCGAAACTCCCCAGACCTCCCCGCTTAGGCACCGCATTTTTTAATAACGTCAAGCGGGGCAGCTATGCCACAACCTCAAGATTCTGCCGGAATCTGTTTCGCTGTTGGTCAGACCAGATCAAAGGAAAGATATGCCATGGGCTGGTTACTAATCCCTGTTGGATCGAGGCATTGAAGTTGGTCAGTCAGAAGGCGAGAGTCATCAAGGATTCAGCGATGGCATATCTGCCCTAGAGCGGAATTGGTCGGCCCGTCGCGTCCTCCTACGAAATTGATATATTGGGGCTGTGGCATAGCCGCCCCGGCCGACAAAATTGATTTTACGAATAAGGTCTTCAGCCTCCAAAACGCTACCTTGCAGTGTCGTTTACCCTCCCACCATGCTATGGTTTTTACTGCATAATCCCCCCCTGACACCCTCCTCTTGTCCTATGGGGTCTCTTGAGATGTCCTTTTTTATCCCTCCATACCCTCATCTTGTCCTATGGGGTCTCTTGAGATGTCCTTTTTCATCCCTCCATACCCTCATCTTGTCCTATGGGGTCTCTTGAGATGTCCTTTTTTATCCCTCCATACCCTCATCTTGTCCTATGGGGTCTCTTGAGATGTCCTTTTTTATCCCTCCATACCCTCATCTTGTCCTATGGGGTCTCTTGAGATGTCCTTTTTTATCCCTCCATACCCTCATCTTGTCCTATGGGGTCTCTTGAGATGTCCTTTTTTATCCCTCCATACCCTCATCTTGTCCTATGGGGTCTCTTGAGATGTCCTTTTTTATCCCTCCATACCCTCATCTTGTCCTATGGGGTCTCTTGAGATGTCCTTTTTTATCCCTCCATACCCTCTTTTTGTCCTATGGGATCTCTTGAGATGTCCTTTTTTATCCCTCCATACCCTCTTTTTGTCCTATGGGATCTCTTGAGATGTCCTTTTTTATCCCTCCATACCCTCTTTTTGTCCTATGGGATCTCTTGAGATGTCCTTTTTTATCCCTCCATACCCTCTTTTTGTCCTATGGGATCTCTTGAGATGTCCTGTTTTATCCCTCCATGCCCCCCTCATGTGGGGGCTCTTGGGATGGTTTTTTTTATCCCTCCATACCCCCATCTTGTCCAATAGGGCCACTTGGGATGGTACTCTTCGTCGTCCGTGTCCCCGTCTTGTCGTACACTGTCTCGTGAGAATCCCTTTTCTACCCCTCCATGCACTCATCGTCTCGTAAGGTATCTTGAGAAGCTCTTCTCCTGAATGCTCGCCATTCGTCCTATAGATCCTTCCAAGACGTCTTTTTTCTCTTTCATGCCTCCCTCTCGTCCTCCCTCGGAAGGGATATCCCGTGACTACTTAGATGCCAAGGCGATCGCTTTTGCTACTGGGCCTTACTGGTTAAAGCTGTTGGTATCTAACGCTACAGCTGGCTCCCTAATAGGTCAGTATTCAGCCTACTACGTATCAGTAGTGACTTTACAGGTCCCCATGGGAGTAGGCTCAGCAAATTGGAGCTGGACACTTCCACTGTTATCCGCATTTCTCCCAAAGGACAGTTTTTCCCGACAACGCAAGAACGCGCAATGGTCATCGCTGCTAAGGATGGGTGATATAATACTCAAAATTTCATTTAAAAGTTCCCAGTCTCAGAGAAGGAGTCTCCAGAGCAGTCAGGCGAGTCTGTGGTACTATCCTCAAGCTAGGATGCCACTTGCAATCGAATCAACAATCTCGGAATCACCAGGAGGTCGTCTCCATCACCATTCGTTTAGCAGTCCCTAGTGAGTCCTCAGTCACTCCATCTCCAATAGACTAGATCTTGTCGCAGAGAGCAGCATCAACACCATCATTGGTCATGGTGGAGACTGCGCTCGGCGATTCGAGGCTAATACTGGCGTTGCACTGGTAGTGGGGGAGAGAATAGAAGGATGTCAGGAAAGGGTAAGGCCAAGAGGTATCGGTGTTCACCATTTCATGCATATAATAAAATCTCATGAGGATGTGTCAAGGGACGAAAATTATTATATCCATAGAGCATTGCAATCCTCATAAGAATAAACAGTCTTCCAGGTTGATGCCGATTCCTTTTATTTCGTATCTATACTGTAGTCGTAGTTCCCACTCCTCCCTCTCCTCTTCAGATCATGGACTTGTACGGTCCTCCAGAGCGCCTGGTCATAGCCGTCTGTGATCTCTCCGAGAACGTCCTGAAAACCCACCCGCTTGTTCGTCGTCATTTAAGTGTACTATATAAGAGCGTGCAAGGGTAGTAATGAGCTCATGCTACGAGATGGTTATCGATCTTCTTCCAGGGCTTCTCCTGAATCCTCTAATCTTGCTGATGTCGCGATAAGGATATCATTCATGTTGTGTGTCTTTCCCGAAGTTAACGCCGCCCAAATAGGATGGGAATGCGGAGCACGAGTTGGATATCTCCCATTATCAGCATCCCTCGAGGTCTCACTAGGTTCACAGTATCACAACTACCCACGAGGGACCCCTGCTGGAGCAGTGCTGTCGGGCGTTCATAGTAGAAGGTAGTAAGGAGGCACCAATCGTAGTGGGTCACGACGGTTTAAGGTACCGTAACAGCCGTAACTCACGTCCATCGGAAGCTAGTAGCCCTGTCGGAGTTGTACAGTAGTGGTAGGGTTGGATTGGAGGAGGAGGGCGACCAAGCAGCTGTACATGGAGGATAAAGCAGTTGATTTTAATTGCCCCGTCTGCTGGGTGTTTCTTCCTCGACAAGTTCCACATCTCTGTATGCGGCATGCTATTCATGGGGTCACTTTCGTGGCCATTGATTTCTCTATAACAATTGTTTTGTTTCATTCGGGTTTCCTCTGGGGGGGGTGTGAGATCTATATCGTGCTCTGCGTATTCCTCAACAACCATCCTTTTCGGATGACTCATCTGTGCATTGTAGGCAAACGTCAAGGCAAGGACTATGTGAATTCACGAGCAGTATTGGAATATATGTTCGCTTCCTCAGCTGAGCTCAGAAACGTCCTCACTCATCATTGGAATTAACATACGAATTCGGGTAGAAGTGTTCATAAAGCAACGAGAATTTCCGCACAATTTTCATATTGTCACCGACACATGTAGTTGACCATATGCAGATTTTCCCAGACTTTTCGAGGGTGGGTGCAGGGATGACTTTGTGTGACCATTGGTATCGTATGGAAGACTGAGCCGTATTTATCAATCTTATTGGAGTTACACCCTAGTGATATGAAAAACACTAGTGGAAAAAATATATCCACGACCACTGCATATCGCGTTTTCACCAAGTTTTACGCCACTTTACGTAAAATGGGTGAAACTCCATTATTATGATTTCTGAAATTTATACAGTTTTTTTCTGCGGGAATGTATAAAAGTTCGAGCTCTAGGAAAGCTCGTAGGATCTAAGCTGGTTGAGTAGTTTCTTCTTTTCCTCGATGCCTAAAGTACGCACTCTCCGCTCGAAAAAAGCACCAGGTAGGTAAGTTTTCTTGAGTAGAATAGGAGGTTCTGATTTTCAGAGGGTTGGGATGAAATAGAAGCAACGTTGATGGAATTGGATAGGAAAATGAGAGATGCTGAAAACGAGCCCCATGAGGATAAGAGGAAAACGGAGCTCTTGTGGCCGATACACAAACTCAACCATCAACGGTCAAGGTACGTACGGTCTCAGGAGTTTTCTCACTATATACGACCGGGGGTAGAATTGTAGAGAAATCAGCGAAGAAAATTTTCACACTAGGTATGACATTTTGAGTCGCGGAAAATGCCGATTTCAGATACGTGTTTGATATGTATTATAAAAAGAAGGCAATTTCAAAGGAGCTCTTCAGATATTGTCTCGAGGTGTGCTAGCTGCTTCGCTCCGCCTTTTTTGTATTTTTGATTCCCTTTTTAGGAGGGCTGGGCTGACAAACAGTTAGTGTACAAGTGGCGGAAGCCTGGCTACGATCAGCTATGTTGCATGCTGTGTTGTCAGTCTACCAATCACAACCAGGTGAGAATCTTTGCTGACGCACGCTGAAGATTTTCCTACTGCTGCTGGTGGTGATAGGGAACGACGTGCATTTGCCGAGTACCACGAAGTCAACTTGGAGAAGGGAAAGTTGTGCAGTGTGCTCATTGTGGATGCAGAGGATGTGCATCTGGAGATCAATAAGACCGTATAATACAACACACGTTTGACGCTGAGACCTTGTTGGGTTCACAGTAAACCACCTAAACGTATAGTCTTGCGTCTTGGGCGAGTGTATTGAAAACTTGTAAGCCAGCTTCCGAACCACACGGACATAGTGGGTCCTTTATGTGACCATTCGAGTGGTTATCTCCTCACGAAGGTGAGTGAATCGACCCTACGGCTCACGTCGCTGCTGCTCTGCTGCGAACTGTGTACCACGATGGTGGGATAAGTCTAGAATATATGTTCGCTCTCCTCAGCTGAGCTTGGGAGTTTCCTCACTAATCACAGGAACTCATATGTATACGAATGGGGAGAATACATACAATTCCCAAAATTTCATCGGAGTTCTCATATTGTCACCAACACATGTGAGAATTTTATCACACTACTTATAATCGTCGGGCGCTTGTATCAGGTCACTCAGCCTTACAACGGTATGTACATTTTACAACTTTTTAGTATGTGACTATATGGTTGGCATGAGTGAACGTTGCTTGCTAGTTAGTATTTCCATCAACTCTACTCCTCCCCCGGGAGTTGCGTTGACAGAAATCCATCAAGCTGTGGCAAGAAACCTTGTTGCAATAGTATGTAGGAAAGTAAACGCATCGGGTGCACACTTCATTAATATGGGCTCGTTTGTGGTATGGAAAATAACAATATTGGAGTTTTACCCGAACAACGTGAAGTGGCGTAATACATGATGTTAACTATACGGCATGGAGGTTTCTGCGATCGATAACAAAAATATATTTTCTACTAGTGTTTTTCATATCACAGGTGAAACTCCAATGTACTGCATGGTTTCAGCATCCGAAGTCGCATTTATATAATCTTCCATAATCGAAGAAACACTTCTCATTCGTCCTCATCCATGCAGTATCCTGACACTTGGTAGTTTTCGATAGAGGAGGAACGTGTAGAGATATCTCCACATTCGGGTACTCATATTAGGGAATTTGCTCCTCCAGGACATCGACGGCAATGGGAAAGTGTGCAGTCGTGTTGAACGATACTTTAACGATAGTTTCTTCATCATGATCAAAATTTCCGTCATTGGCATGCTCAGCTTCTAACGTGGTTCTGGGCAAACCACCGCACATCTTCGTGGCTTTCTTCATCACAGTGATTGCCACCCGATTCATCTCTATTGCTGAGTGTACATGCGGAACTTTCAATGTCTTTCCTCGTTGCTCATGTTGTTGCTTTTATAGAACTTGGCAGAAAATTATGTACTCCGATTATTATGTTGAATCGGTGATTTGACCGCTCTTGAACAATCATTGACCATTTTAATCATCTCACACTTTCCTACTGTGTGATCTTCAACCTTCATCATCTACTGTTGAAAGAAATTTCTTTTTTCTAGTTATTCAGCTGTAGTGTGTTGAACAGTAACGGTAGTGTTACATGTAAATGACGAAAACTTCAAATGATGATCATTCGCATTGAATCAGCCCAAATCACAACGGAAATAATACATTCAACAGCATATCGAATCAAGCAGCTGTCAAGAAAACTCTGATGAGTTACCTCATAGTGTACATCTCACTATTGTTAAGAAGGAAGCACGTCCTTCAACTGTCGGAAAACTCGAATCCATATTCAAAACAGAGAAAGCAATTCGCTACACTAAACACCACCAAATGCTTTCTGGTCGTGATACGCCACAGATCTTCGAAGGAAAGTCAGCCAGGACTGCTGGTCAACTTCTTCTTGTGAACTACACCCGAGTGATGCCGTACAAAAAACACTCCGCGATGTGGAAGTATCACCTCCTGAGCATGGAATAAATAATAAAGAGCGCATCCGTCCACCTACGGAGGAGTTTGTTACGCACTGTGAACATGGTTTCTCGAGCGGTTGTATCACTGCCGCTCACGCCGCTCATCCAGCGAGGCAAGGACTCCCCTGAAATGCCCACAAGAGCTGCGTTATAATATTATTCGCCTTCTTCAGCTGAGTTGTTCACATACGAATTCTGGTAGAAATATACCGATTTTCCCCCTACAATTTTAATACTGTCACCAACATATGCAGTTGTCCATATGCATATTAATCGAGAGTTTTCTCACCAACAAGAAATCTGTCCACGTAAGTTGGTGGTAGAGGTAACGGCGCTTCCTCGTCACACCATCGCTCCTCAGTATGCCGGCCTTTTTCGTTAGCAACAATCATGAGGGGGCATACGCCAGTGAGTACGTCTTCTTTAGTGCTGTTGTTCACATCGAATATACTTTGAGTGCGATCTCGGGTAGGAGAGGAAACAGGTTGAAGGCTGAAAATTATTTGATAACGTAAAAGTTGCATAAACATCAACCTACCTGGTGTCTATTATTGGGTGGACGAAATCAAACAGCCATCCAGTGAGGGCGCTACGAGTTGAAGAACGAGTGGTATCGAAAATTAATATCACCCCGTCTGCAGAGGACTCTGGCGTTGCGACCAGATCCAAGGTAACTTCTGATTGGCAATCGAGTATCCAGAATTCTATAAACACCTATATCAACATCTACTAGCCTAGCACGAGCAGTATGGAAAAATACGCATCTACATGTGTTGATGACAATTGCGAGAAAATTTTGGTAATTCTTTTTTTGTTTCTATACACTTCTACCCGAATTCATATGTGTACTGCTATATTGAGTGAGGAAACTCTCGAGCTCAGCTGAGGACAGCGAACATATATTCCTCCACGTTACTTCACGCGGTGTTCCGTCGGGCATCGCAACTGTTTGCCTTCCTACTTCGACTTTGGGAGCGTTCGAGGGTCCTTCAGTAGTCACTCCCAAAAATGATCTCTCATCATCTTTGGTGCAAAGGGCTCTGCAATAGAGTTGGAATATTCTGCTATTTCATATGTCACCTGCATAATGATGTTCTTCCTGTTCCTGTACCACCCGCGACTAGGATGCGTAGATTGACAGGCTGTTGTTCCCCTATAGCAATGCGTGAAGTAGTGAGTTGTGGCAACTCATATTCGACCGGATTTACACCGGTATAAGGATGATTCTCAATAGAAGAGTGCGCGCGGTGACGTGTCGGCCATATTGATGATACAAACTTCATTAGTAGTTGATGAAAATTAGTTGCACGAAAGATTTCTCATTTTAGGGCGCGCGCGTAATTTCATGGCGCGTGACAAGTTCTAAGTGCAACTGTCAGACCACACCAGACACCAGTGATCACCCTCGTTGTTTTAGACCTCCTTTTTTGAGTGAATGCTGTCGAGACTGCTACCCGTGTCACCATCCTCCACTACACTACTACTTGGTTCTGGTTCTAAGCTTGCCAGATGCCTAGGCCCTGCTTTGTCCCGTTGTTTTTCGGCTCAGCCGGGTGCTGCTGTTGCCAAGACTGAGGGGAAAAGTGAGTTTATGGTAGATGTACATTTCACTGTGTTGTTGTTGGTTATGTTTTTAATGGTGTGTGAGAAACTTTTCTCGTTTTTTCGTAAAGTTATTTTTTGTGTAAACGTTTGGGTGTCCCTTTATGTGGTTAAATGTATTATATAATTGTTGTTATTCACTAATGAGGCAATCTCGATTGGTATCCTACGTGCGGGGGTATCTTGAGGTTGAGCGTGTAAGATTCAAAATAGGTCCGATTTCATACCGCCCTGCATTTGGCCTTAGCGCGCTTTAGCTTAATTCCGAAGCGCAATTCAGTGTTTGAAATTTTTCCCTTTTTTGTGAGGTACCATCCAAGGAACCTCTTACAATGTGGTGAAGTTTCAACAAGAAGATGTGAGCGAAGTTGTGAAAGAAGTGCCGCATTTCCAGTAGGAGTTTTTCACCCCAGTTTTTACTGTTTTTATTCTTGGTCTCAGATTTTACTACATTGGTGGCGAACACAAGGATAACAAGTACAGGGATGTTCCCCTTGATATTCCCGTGCTCACCGAGGCTCCTGTGAGTGCTGATTTTTATCGTAGTGCATCGTTATGTTGTTTTTTGGTAGCCTCCTCAGCTCAAGAAGCCCGAGATGAAGTTCTCCGTCCTCGAAAACGGCATGCGTATCGTCTCTGTAGACAAACAAGGGGTAATTGCTTTTTTTACTCAATGATGATTTCATACCACTCCTCAGCTAACTTCCAACCTTGGACTTTTCGTGCATGCCGGTTCTCGCTTCGAAACTCCGGCTGAAGAAGGTCTCTCCCATATGGTTGAGTGCGTGGCATTCAGGTAGCTGCTATCGGAAATTTTATTTTACTATAGTCATTTCACTCAGGTCTACCGCCCATCTGTCGCATCTGAGAACTATCAAGACTATTGAGGTCCTTGGTATGAACGGTGGCTGCCAGGCGGGTCGTGAACATATCATGTACAACTTGGAGCTCTTGAGAGAGTACATGCCAGTGGCGAGTACACTCGTGGTTGGAAATGTGCTCTTTCCTCGACTACTGCCCTGGGAGGTAAACGCATGCCATAAAGAGATCAAAAAGGTAAGTAGATGGTAGTTGTTGTTTTGTTGTTATTGTTGTTGTTAGGCACATGAGAGACTGAAGGCTGATACTGATCAGTATGTGTCGGAGTTGCTGCATCAAACGGCATATCACAACAACACTCTTGGGAATGCCTTGCTGGCTAACGAGGGGAGGTAGGTGTTGATAGTAGTATTATTACTACTGTTATTACTACTGTTATTACTACTGTTATTACTACTGTTATTACTACTGTTATTACTACTGTTATTACTACTGTTATTATTACTGTTATTACTACTGTTATTACTTCTGTTATTACTACTGTTATTACTACTGCTATTACTACGGTTATCACTACGGTTATCACTACTGTTATCACTACTGTTATTACTACTGTTATTGCTACTGTTATTACTACTGTTATTACTACTGTTATTGCTACTGTTATTGCTACTGTTACTACTACTGTTATTACTACTGTTATTACTACTGTTATTACTACTGCTATTACTACTGTTATTACTACTGTTATTACTACTGTTATCACTACTGTTATCACTACTGTTATCACTACTGTTATCACTACTGTCATCGATTTTTTCTCAGGGCTCTCGAGCATTTCACCGGCGATAACATCAGGGAGTTTATGATGAAGCATTTCTCAGCGGAGCGAAGCGTCTTTGTTGGCATTAACGTTGACCATGATGAGCTCTGCAAGTGGCTGATGAGAAGTTTCGCCGAATGTACGTTTTTGGGCCTACTTTGTATCTTTTGGTATCTTTTGAGTAGATGTTGCTATCCCCAATCTCCCTCGAGAGGAGGCCAAGCCTGTCTACACTGGTGGATACAAATTGGAAGAAAATGCCGACATGCCTGTATGCAACATTGCTATTGGTTTCGAGACCGAGGGATGGAATTCGGCAGATCTAGTGCCCGTGACGGTGCTTCAAACACTCCTTGGTAAGAGTGAATTAATTGTGTTATTGATATCGTTGTGATGTAGGTGGCGGCGGATCCTTCTCTACGGGGGGCCCGGGAAAAGGAATGCACTCGAGACTTTACCTGAATGTGTTGAATCAGAATCCTAACGTGGAGAGTTGCATGGCATTCAATACTCAGTAAGTAGTTTTTGGGCATTACCACTAGGGGGATGCGGTGTTGGAGTATATGTTCGTGTTCTCAGTTGAGCTCAGAACTATCCTCACTAGTTGTTGAAAACTGTTCGGGTAGAATTTCGAATTTCAATTGCATATTGTCCTCCACTCGGTAGTTGATGATGTGCATATTTGACAGATACTCAGATTCGGGGCTGTTCGGAATGTATATCACCGGGTTCGGCCAGGAGGCTCCGAGGTTGGTAGATATTGCTCTCAACGAGTTGCGTAAATTGGTAAGAATTAAACGACGTTGTTTGTTGGTGTGAATGTTAATCGTAGGACTCGTTTACACCGGATGAAGTTAGTAGAGCGAAAAACACGCTGAAGGGAAATATATTTATGAACGCTGAGAATTCAAAAGTGTTGATGGAAGATATAGGGAGACAGATTATTATGAGTGGAAAAGTAGGAGATACAGTAGTTCATTTTACGCATAGTTCTGGTGACAGGTGGTGACACCGGAGGAATTCGCCACTCGAGTGGATGCTGTGACCGAAGCTGATCTGAAGAAAGTCGCTGCTAAGTTGCTAAGGAAAAACCCTACCTATGTTGTGTACGGTGACACTAAGTAGGTTTAGGAGTGGGGAAATATGCACATGGTTAACGACATGTGTTGGTGAGAATTTTTTTTTGGGAAATTCTGATTGGGTTTTGTAAATGTCTACGCTAGTTTGTAGATAAACTCCCATAATTAGCTCTGGAAACTCCTAGGGTCAGCTGAGGGAAGAGAATATATATTCCTCCAACACTGGTGATGTTTCATTTCAGGTCGGCCCCGCATTATGAGTATGTGAGAACGGCGTTGGCGAGCTTGTCAGCGGCTAAGGGGAAATAATTTTGTGGCGCAGTGACGATTTTTCATTTCCTTCTATTACTAGTACTACATCTCTGTCGGAGGCAGAGTCGTTATGATGCGATTTCGGTTGGAATTTTATCGAGCTGTGTTTCGCTGTTTATTATCATTTTCTAGTAGTACTTCTTATTTGTTAAGACTCTCGTTATGGTAGCGAATAAAATTGCCAAGAAAGGCGACCTCCATGTTGCCATCATCGGTGATGAGGAAACTGTCTCTGGGTTTAGCCTAGCAGGTGCCGGTATGCGCGATGGAAACGGCGTGACCAACTTCCTAGTGGTTGACGCTAGTAAGAATAACTCCTCGTAAGTGGTAGTGTGATTATTCTATGATCAGAGACTCGACGCAACGACATTGAGGAGGCTTTCAAGACCTTCGTCGAGCGTCCTGATATCGCGATTGTCATCATCAACCAGCCGATAGCTGAGCAGATCCGTCATGTCGTGCGTAAGTATACCAGTAGCGGCTCGGCTATCCCAGCAGTTCTCGAGATCCCTAGTAAGGAATCTCCTTATAACCCGGCACAGGTAGTACTAGTAGTCGCCTTTTGTAGTGAAGTTGTTATTGTTGTATTTTAGGACTCCATTATGCAACGTGTGCAGATGTTCTTTGGACAGGCCTAGTCAGCACCACCATTCACAATTGGTGTTCACTGTGATGGCTCTCGACAGTCCTTAGTGGTGTTGGAAGTCTGAGTTTCCCTGATAATAATAATGAGGTTTTGTTGGAGTATAAATGACAGTTGTGGGATTCAACCCAGGGTGTGTTTCGGAGTACAGGTGCATAGGTAATCGTAGATGTGTATTAGGGAACCAGTTGCCTTGGAGAAATAACGTTTGGAAAATGTCCACATCCGGGCGCTTCGGTCCAGCACACTTGAGCAAGTGCTTACGTCGTCGATTTTCAACCTCATCGCAGCCTAGGTTTTCAATAATCTTTCGCCTCTAACACAGCTCAACACAATGTGGTGACACTTACATTGGAAACTGATTGAAGAATGTGTTCCTAGCCATACGTGGAGAATTGAAAATGAATCCCCCTCGGGAACACTCTAGGTCTGATGTGTATTAGTATTCCGATGACCGTCGTCGGGTAGCGGCAAGACAACATGAGCTTTATTATGAAGTAGTGAAGGAGTGGTACTCAAAAAAGGTAGTTGAGAATTACCAACTCTTCGCTGGATTCAGCGCTATGACACAGTTGGTATCAACGGACCAAACTGAGGGGTGTGTTTTTCAGTAGTCAACTACTACGTGATTAAATTCCAAATAGATGATTAGCCAGTGAGGAACTATACTACCACACGTCGTACTAGTTGAGATCGGTAATTCAATGGAGTTCCTGCCGCTGCTATACGAAGCTGTGAATGTTGAGAGTGGAGAGATTTGGAGCCTCCTTATGAGATTTATTATATTTGAATAACACACATCTCAAGACGGAGACGATGTCAGGAAATTCTTCAGTTCTGGCGTTAGATGTCGTCAGGCGTATGTGTGTGTTGAGTGAAATGGAAATACAGAGATAGAGAACAGCAAGATATGTTGCCTGTGGATGCGCAAACTTATATGAGCTCGTCGGGGAAGGAGGAGCAGTCGTCTAGGATTCAAAGCCACCAGTTGAGTTGGAAAATTCGTTGCCGCGGTTTCACGGCCCGTTTAACGTGAAGTGGTGTAAAATATGTTTCCGCGACCGATAACACAGTTCTTTTCTACGATTAATTTTTAATATCCACGGCGAAAATCCATCATAGGTGAAATAATTTCCCTGACAGTTTCTCCTTCGTATGTGATGACTGCCTCGACACCATCATCATCTCGGCTGTCCCGTCTCGAGGGCCGAATCGCCGAGTCCATACCACTCCAACTGCAAGCTAACCAAGAAATGGCCGAGGAAATCGTGCGCGTGCGTGCAGAAAATCGACGATTGCGTAGCGAAAATGCGGAACTAAAAGCAATGACG